GTCGACAATAAAATGAGGATCGTAGTTGAATAAGAAGAGTAGCTTTCACGATTGAACTCTTATAGTGTAAATTCAAATGTATTTCTCGATAAATGAATTATCAATTGTGTATTTTTGTACCAGTTTACTGATAAGAATCGCAAGAAGGGTCAAAGTTAGATTTCAAGAGGTGGTTTATTCCCTTGAAATAGAAACGTTGATAAAATCTATGAGATAAATTCAGTATAAGCGTCTTTTTGTATACTCAAAAAGTGAGTACACTACTAAAATCGGTCAGTGTGTCCGTCCGTTTATTCGATAACTCTTCACAGTTACATTTGATTGAGCTGAAATTTTGTGCACAGAATTGTCTCATCAATATCTAGGTTGAGTTCGAAAATGAGAAGGATCCGTCATGAAATGGCTGAGTTATCGAAAAAATTGTCATTTTTGATCAGACCATCCCTGAAGGGGAGTACAGGGATTTTTCTCAGAATTATCCACAACATATATAGATCGACTCAGTCTTTAACGCTGATTCCGAATCTGATATTAGTTTTGAACTAAATCGTAGCTTTCTAACGAAGCATCGCCTGAAAAACGTCTCAAAATGCACAAAAACTGCATCCAGAAATCAAATTACCTAGTTTCTCATGATAATTTTGATGTTCAGACATTCTAGAATGACTCATATGCCCCTTGCACTTTTTGCAGTACACATAACTCTCGGATGAAATCGGAAGTTTCCACATTTATTTATTCTCAATTTTCGACTATGACGTCTTTTGAATATTCCTAAGTTCTTTACTGTATTGTAAAATTTTTATGCAAATTCAACAAAAAACCTGATTTAATCAAATCTTCAGATAAAAAAATCTTTATATGATTCATGAAAAATGTTTTCATAGAAAACTAATCTTATTTATTCACATTATATCTAATAATGTACAAAACAATAACAACGAGAAAAAAATATATATGTAACTATCTGTATACATAACAAAAATAAATGCAATTTTCTTTGTCAATCAAAATTTGATTCACCTAATGTAACCATGCGGACGGTTTGATGAGTTGCAATAAGAAAATTTTCTTCTTCTAATGCTCGAATAGCATCATCAAACATATCGCGTGTAATACGTTCATCATTTCGTTCACGAATTTCGTTGAATAATGTGTCTTTCTTTACGGATCCTATACTTAATGTTGATTTACGTTCTTTCATATAACGTTTAAGTGTTTGAGCAAGATCAGCACGAAGACGACGTTCACCAGCACTAATACCCGTAGTTAAAATTGCAACATCAACATGACCTGTTTTCGGATCTATTGCCTATAACATACAAATTATTGCCAATTTAAATGCTTGTTTTGTAAAACTTACTGCTTGTTTTAATGCTTCACGATAGAGTCTGAAAAGGAAGATTTTTGTTTTACAAGCAAACAGGTTATTATCTCCATTACCGTTTTCCTTCTTCGATATCTAATTCTTCAACTTTATTAGAAAGTCGAACTTTAGCATGTGCTTCAGCCAAACGAATCAACGATTCAAGTTGTCTTGGATACGCAGTTATTTGTCCTTTACCACTACCTACTTTACGCATCTCGACATATCTATTACAGCAAAAATAAGCAACCATTTAGATGTTGTATTTTATCTCTTTGAGTACTTACGAACTAATAAGAAGTTTACCAGCTGATTCAGTTAATTGTGGACTAACAAATGTACGCGCATAAGATATATAATCTCGAAGTAAATCTGCATCCTTTTAATAAACAAATAAGCTTCTTAAAAGGTTAAAAAGATCCATTGTATATTTACCATAGCGTCATGAACAGCTTCCCCTTCCTTTCCATATTGATACCATGACGCTAAATGTTGTGCTAATCGTCTATCATAGGCTTCATCCTGTGGATCAAGTAAGAGGAAAATTAAATCAAAACGTGAAAGTAATGTTGGTGGTAATTGGATATTTTCAATAATTGTTTTTGATTTATTCCATGATGATTCAATAGGATTAGCAGCAGCTAAAATAGATGTACGAGCATTTAATGTACATATAATACCAGCTTTAGCGATTGATAAAGTTTGTTGTTCCTAAATAATCAATTCTAGGTCAACATTCAAATAGACAAAATTCAACATACCATAACTTCATGAAGGATTGATCGAGCACTTTCACTCATTTTATCAAATTCATCAATACAACAAATACCATTATCGGCAAGAACTAATGCACCGCTGCAATATATGAATTATTAAAACGAAAAAATGACGAAGATATTCTTTACGTTTGAAGAACAAGTTGACCAGTTTCAGGATCTTTTGTAACATAGGCTGTAAGACCAACAGCACTTGTACCTTTACCATTGGTATATTGAGCACGAGGTACCAAACGAAATACATATTGTTGCAATTGAGACTTAGCTGTACCTGGATCACCACAGAGTAAAATATTAATTTGAGAACGAACACTTTTTCGTCCAGCTTCACTAAAGCATTTTTTTGATCCACCAAACAATTGTAATAGAATACCTTTCTTTATATCTTCGTGTCCGAATATACTTGGAGCTAGAGAAAAGCATTATATCGTTATCCTAGAGAGAGAATTTTTATTTTACCAATAGCATTTGATAATAATTCGTAAATATCTGAACGTTCAGACAAATTTCGAAATTGTGCTAAACGTTCTTTGGAAAATTTTGATGAACTAAATGAAACAAAACAAACCATTTTGATAGGTTGTTTAAGTATGAGCTGCTTTTTACCTTGCTTCTTCGTCATCATTTGTAGCCGGTTCTTCATTTCCACCAACGGCTGTAAATGTTTTGTGACGGCGAAAATGAATAACATCAATGTATGTACGATAAACGGATCGAACATTTCGTGTTTTAGGATTCATACGAACTGGCACTGCACGAAATATACCAGTAACTTGAACACTAAAAGAGACAATCAAAATAATGATTTTGACAGCTAACAAAATTATTTTTATATGTTCAGTTCGTAGTTTATGTTTGAATTTTTCAAATTCTCTTCTGAATATACATACCGATCGCCAGGTTGCACGGCATCCACTAGGTCATTATGTGCTACAATTGTTACAGTAACTGGCGTTTGCCCAGCCGGCATTTCCTCTGAAGGAAAAAAGTCAAATAATCTTTCCAAGAAAAAACATCTAAAAACTCACCAGGCGTTTCTTGTAATTTAACAAATTGTTTATCCGCAAATAATGATCGATTATGAATCAATTCAAATGAATGTGCTGTATTACACGATGTACATATAGTCGGTTCAGCAATTCTTCCACGATCAATTTCAACTTGTACATGAAAACCACATAGATTACATGAGAAATACGCTGAACGCATTTCAGGCATTATCAATGAAGATCGAATAACCATGCCTGTAAGACTAACTAGTTTGTCGATATCTAAAACAGAACAAAATGAAACGCTTCAGCTGGCCTTCAGTTGGTTTCATACCTTCAGGATCAAGACAACGCATATTTTTAAATAGATCAACATTATATGGTCGTACTTGTATTTGATGTGGAAGTGTATCATCTTCATAGATGGTAAAAAATAGTTCATTAACAGCGATATCAAATATTGGTACCACTTCTTGTGGATATGCAATCAGTTGACTTAGCATTGTCCTATCGATTTGTTTTATATGTGCACAATCAACATTAAGAAATGGCCGTTCAAGTAAATGAATTTCTTCTAATTTTTGCATATAAAATGGTTTAGCTGGATCAACGCCTTCAATATTGGCTTCTTCAACATTTAAATGGAACTTTTTCAAAAATGATATAAATCGACGTTTACATTCATTAACATGAACATCTGTACCCCAAATAACAACTTGATTGTCGGCTGTATTAATATCAATATCACCTTCCTAAAATTTTCATTATTCCACTTTTTTAGAAAGTATTTCAATTGTATCAACTCACTAATTCATCCTGTTCATTGACTAAACGTAATTTTCTTGCACTGCCAAGATCCGATCTAACTCGTGAAGGTGTTGACATCGGTGTACGAGTACTAGGACATATATTACTATGCGCAGGAGATGTTGTATATGTCATTGGTGAAAATGCCATGCCTACAATAGTTTGCTTTTAAAAAGAAACAAAAAAAGTTTCGTAAAAGCAAACCTCGGTTTTTATTTGGAGTTCGACCAGGTGTAAATGGCATTTGTAGGACAGAACTTGGTGTTGGACTTGTCATATGCTCATCTTCTTGTAAGGCTGTTAATGGATTTCGATGTTTAGCAGCTAAATACAAAATACTTTATAGTTTAATTAAATGATCAGAAAGTTATTACGTGTGCGTTGTGTCGAACCCGGCGTTTGTTTAGCTGGTGTACGACGTTGTTTCGAAGGAGTACCGTTCGATTTTGATGGAGTGGTCATCTAGAATATAAGTTCAATTCAATTATTTCAGAAAAATGCCATGTCAAAATTTGATAGATATTTTTGACATTGTTTCGATTCTCAAAGAACAATTGGATGAGTGACACAATAACAAAAAAATGCGGTAACAGCCATTCAATTGTTGAGTAAGACCGCACAAAGAAAGAACAAAGTTGATATAAATAATGTAATATGAAATACTTTTCAGGAGCTATCTGATTTTATATAAGACTAAGTTTTACTATTAGTTCTTGTAAAAAAATTTGCTCAACTATTAAATGAAGGTTGAACAGTAACAGAAAGAGGTCGCACATTTCCCCTGCATAAAATATGTACTTGACGTGACGAAAGCGAAAGAAATGCTTTGAAAAATTTCTATTCGATGACGTTCGAAAAACAAATTGAAACGAAACGAAACATATTCTTTTAATTCAATTACGAGAGCAGGGTGGCCAGATCGAAAATTGAAAAATCAGAATTTTTTTGTAAAAATCAGAAAACGATCAGAAAGTCTTTTAAAAAAAATCAGAAGTTTATCAGAAAGATCATTTTTTTTGAAATAGCGACTTCTGTATAAGATGCTGGCATTAACTATTCCACTACTTTTATGTCATTGACAGTTACTTCATTTTCAAAGCTTTGCTACTATAAAGATGAATATTCATCAATCGATAACGAATCTTCACGAAAACTCTTTTTTTCCTAAAAATGTCGAAATGATATTGCTGTGACTAATTAATTTACTTCGATTTGTTTCTCTTCACAATCAAATTCAACCATATTAATATCATCCAATAGATAATTTTGCTTTTATTTGCGGACTGTTCAATTAGATAAGATTCTCGAAATCAAGAAAAGAAATTTATCAAATTCTAGCGCATTGCTGTAGTTGAAGTTGCCTGTATAAGCCAGAAATTACCAACGGATAATTGAGAAAAACAAGGTGCCGCAATATACATCTATAAATAGTAATGTGTTATATTTGTACTGAACTGCACGAAGCAAAACTGGGATCTGAAATAGTTTCGAATTCGGAAAAAAATCAGAATATGGTACGAAAATCAGAAGAAATTCAGAAAGGACTTCAAATTTCAGAAAATTTCCCTACTTTTCAGAAGATCTTGTCATCCTGCCGTAGGCTAACCGTATTTATTCGGCTGACAAAATTCACGCGGATGATCAAACGTGATTGATCGAGTGTTATAGGTTAACTATTCTCTCAATTATGGCTTGTGAAAAGTATGAGGTAGTAAATACCTAAAATTCAAGTTTTGATTTTTCTAATTATACGCAGACGATTAGTAGAAAACGGTATCTTTTTTTTGAAAATATTTGATAATAAAAGATACATGAAAGTCTGAAAGTTTCTGATTGCCAAAGAGAGGACTTATTTGATATATTTCCATAATCATGCTAATATATAAACGTATCCGACACCTGAAAAATAGTCATAAAGATTCTTTGTATCTAGATTTTCTGGAAAGTCTGAAGTAATTAGGAAAATAAAATTTTCAGAAAGTAAAATAATGTTTCGTTTCAGATATCGTAAGAGAGAAAATTTAGATATAGCCATAAGTGTATAGAAACAATTGTTTTCTATCTTCTTGAGATAATATTCATCGTTCAACATGCAAACTACTTAAGAAAACGTTATGCATAAATTTATCAAGGATTTAATTCTTATTGTTTTAGATATCTTTCAAGAGCGAGCTTAATTTTAAGCGCATGTTAATTATATAATAATTATTCCAATATCTTTATTTAGATGTAATTCAAGATTTAATCGTAGTGAATATAATAAAGAGTATAATAACTGATTTTCTATTTAGACATTTTACTGCGGGGAGTTAAAATGTAAGTAACAAGCGATTGAAGTTGTTTAAATATATATCGTTTAATGAATATAATTATGAAATGTAGTTAATAGTTTATCAGCAATAAAATGCACTTATTTTTTTAATATATTTTGTAGCTGCGACTTTGAAATGAAATTGTAAATAAAATAAAAAACATAGCCAAAATAAAATTGTTATTCATTGACATATCGTTCAATGAGAAATTTTGATAGAAGCATCATTTTATCAGAAAAAAATAGGCTTTTTCTTTTACATATTGAACGGAGCAAATAATTCAAATGTCGGTCTACAGGACAGGGGCGCATAAGATACCCTATCGGCCCATTTAGATTTTTTCACCTCAACCTAGCCACATTATATATGAAATGAAAGCTCTCGGTGAGACAAGCATTTCGGTATTAAATCCGCTATGGAAAAAATTTTGAGAAATTTGTAAAATAAAAAAGGACGATTTTTCTTACTTTATTAAACCAATTTTTATTTGATTAATCCGAAGTTTCTATATTTGATGTCCATGATGAATTAAATCTCAATGAATAATCAAACTGAACGGAGATTTGTTCGTGATTGGGTACGTATTCAATAAGATTTTCAAGAAAATATGCATAATTACGTCGAATAAATAAACGGCGAAGAGTCATACAACAAGATTGAGGTTGATAGCGAATAGAATTGGAAGAAAGACAAGAGTTTGATGATAAACATTTATGAATATCACTATTCATAAATTCCTTGCTAATATCAAGTCGAAGAGATTTTAATTGACATTGCCCAGAAAATAGCTGACAAAGAAGTTGTTTTGTCACAATCATTTCTTTTTCTATTGTTTATTAAAAAAAATAAAAGATAAATTTTATATGATTAAAAAATACTCGAGTTTAAGACAGTTTTTTCTTAATTATAAGCAATGTTTAGAAGGAAAATATTTTTGTTTTTAATTTTAAATTTAATAATGCAAAAACTCATATTTACAAAATATCAAATATTTTGTGTTCATTTCAGAGTTAAATGATCGTGACTATTTTTTGAGTAACTTTTGATCAACTAGGGCTATCGAGTTCAAGGTTCTGTAGTTGGAAAGAGATCAAAAAGACGATATGAAGATGTCAAAATTTTACCATGTATACAACGGAATTCAGACTACAATTTCGTATAATGAGAGTTAGAATGTCGAAAAAACACGAAAACACCATATCGACGTATAAACAGGCGTCAAAGAGGTGAGTGTGAACTCAAATGAATCGTACAGAAAGACGCCTCGGAGTCGGCTCTTTCTAACTACGCAACTCCGAGCTCGATTGTCCTAGCCGATCAAAAGTTATTCAAAAAATGCTCACAGTTACTGAACTCTGAAATGGCGATTAGGAATAAATATATCAGTTCATTGACATTTACATGAATAACTCAATGATTAGAACATGTTTGAATTAACTATAAGACAGGATTGAAAGCGAATAAAGATTTATTTATAATTGCATACCAGTTGTTCATATCTAAGAGCTTTTTCTTTTATAGGAAGAAAATAATGAATTCTTAAAATTGTGCAGTTTTATTTTTCATACTAATTTTTATGTCATGTGAGAAAATCTCGCGACGTCATAAACCAATTTTAAACTAAGATTTGTCTTATCAGATAGGCAGTTGCGCTCTTAGTTACTTCTTTCCCAATAGTCTCGGTCATAGCCGTGATAAATCTGATCTGGTCTGGTTCAAGTTCGAATTCCGTCCTGACGATTTTAGTTTTCAGTTTCTGGCTCTTATCTTACTCCCAATCAGGCTTGCCAAATCTCCTAATTTATGGACTTCTCTCCTGATAGAAAATCTCCTGATCTCAGGAGCTGATTTTCATCATTTTCTCCTGATTTCTCCTGATTTTTAGTTTTCTTTCTATTTGTTTTTTAGCGACACTTTGGACCAATAAGAGAACTAAAGGGAGCAAAGAGAACTATTGCAGTATTTAATAGTTATAGAAACGAATGAGAAAATAATGGCTTTTATTTCATTCTTCTTTTAAAAAAAATCATCAATCACATGACCTAATTGCATGCAAAGTACTTGTTTTGTTGTACATAGGAGAAAAGTATATGTTATTATTTAGAAAGCAAGATCTTAAAAATCAGACAGGAGACTGATAGACAAAATTTTAAATGGCCAGAGAAGATGTCTCTCATCTAGAAAGAATTTCGCATTTCTTGGGAATCAAATCGGACCCTTTTTAACTCAAAATAGGACAATATCTTGAATAACCTAGCAAGATTTCTGTGTTTCATTTTCATTATTACGCTAAAATTGCTATAGGCTCACTTGCACTGCTGTTTTGTTGTCAAAGTTTGATAGGAATTACAAACATGAAAAGAATGAATGGATCTATAATACAACAAAAAAAAGTGAAGGCAACAATAAAAAAAAAGAAGCAGACGGAATGGCCATTTCGACTAAATGTTCCTTTAATAGATCGTAAAAGACTTGAGAGAAAAACAACTTTGTTTTCTAAAGGTTAACTTATCTTCTTGTTATAGAATATTAGCGTATAAAAATGAGCGAAGAAGCATATGACAAGCGATTCATATAGTGACGGAATAAACAAAGAATGATTGCCTTTTTTTCCAACTCTGGTGAGAGTCTTTCTATCGTTCTATTAATTTATATAAATAGTTTTACTTGAACTTCACAATACAAAAAGATTTTTGACTGATCGATCAGAATAAAAAAGAAGTCTGGAAAGAATCCAGATAAGAATATTAACTGGTTCAGTGTACATAATAGATATAACTAAAGAAATGTTTTCATGACTCTTCTACGTGTATAGCAAAGAGCATTACTTGTATTAGAACTCAAATGAAAATAATATCCTTTGTATTAAAATATTGATGATCAACTTGGTATAAAATAGATAAAAGTGCTTATGTGAGCGAAAATTCGAATTTTCTACGAGAAAATCACCTAATGTTCTCTTAACTTCAAATAGAAAACCTCCTGATTTTTCTCCTGATTTCTAAAAGAAATTCTCCTGCTAAATTCCTGTTTTTCGATGAAAAACTCTTGATTTCTGAAATTTCAATTTGGCAAGCCTGTTCTCCATCAACAATATCGACTTCGCTTTCACTCAATTGTATGCATACAAATTTTCTTTTGATCTGACCCAATAAGTAAAAATATTTTTAATCTGAACCCGAACCCGAACCGGGACCCGATTAAAAATAAATTTCAAACCCGGACCCGACGGGCTCTAGACACGAATGTAAATATAAATATCAAACTTCAGAGACAACAACATCCACACCAATTGGTAAATGAAAGATACTATTCTTTTCAATTTCTATATCAGATTTCGACTCAAAGAGTATCCTGCAAGTAAGACGGTGATATCAGTATAACAGTTGATGAAAAATTTAAGTAAGCGATTACTACGTTAGTATAATCACTTAACAATAATGATCTAAAAAATCCCATTCGATACTCTGTAAAAAATAATACTCAAATAATGAGAAGAAGAATCTTCGAAAACGTGTCCTCATATGTGGCTCCCTCGCATGCCCGTACTGACTATTGATACAATGGATCATCCAATATATATATATATATGATGTGATAAATGATAGGATACGTACGTATCAAGGTATATTATATTCTATTAAACATTATAGAATTTCATTTTGTCGATTAAAGCTATTGAAAAGAAAAGATGCAATTATCATTTCTAAGATATCAATCGATTCAATTTTCTTCATGTTCATTACCAATACTACGTCATCTAAATTCCAATACTTTCAATATTCAAACTCAACGTTGGAATAGTGTTAAAAGTGGTTCTAGTAATAGAAAAACTGGAACCAAGCAACATACAATTATTGATGCTTGGGGTCAACACCCAACATTGCGTCACATTCAAGATCCAATATTTGATAGTTTACGCCGTTGGACAAAAGGATTGACTATCACTGAAACACCAAATATATCGTCAACAGTAGCTGCACTTGATGCTGCTGGCGTTGATCGCATGTTAATTAGTGCGTGGTACGCTCCCAACAATATAATGATTTCTAATGACGAAGTGTTTGATTTTGTTTCTCAATCAAAGGGACGATTAGTTGGTGTTGGTTCAGTTGATATTACTCGACCTATGTTGGTTATGCGTGAAATTCGTCGATGTGTTGAAAAATTTGGTTTTAAAGCTATTCGTGTTCTTCCATGGCTATTTCAAGTACCACCAACTGATCGACGATTTTATCCAGTATATGTGGCATGCTGTGAAATGAACATTCCATTTTGTACACAAATAGGACACACGGGCCCTTTAATGCCATCGGAAGTTGGTCGTCCAATTTATCTTGATCAGGTAGCACTTGATTTCCCGGATTTGACAATTGTTGCAGGTCATATTGGATATCCATGGACTGATGAAGCGATTGCCGTTGCTACTAAACATCCCAATGTCTATATTGATACTTCTGCGTATACTATTCAACGGTATCCTCCTGCTCTGATTGAATATATGCGAACTCATGGCCGTAGCAAAGTTCTATTCGGTAGCAATTATCCAATGATTCCTCCTGCTAAAGCTCTCGAATGTCTTGATGGTTTAGGACTTGATGAAAAGGCTCGTGCTCTTTTTCTTAGTCAAAATGCTGCACGTGTTTTTCGCATATGATCAAAGTTAGATTTAAAAATTGTTATCATTCGATCAATTTATGTCTATTTTGTTTTTCATTTTTACATTGTCAATAGAATAGTTGACCTATAAATCATAATGACAACTCAACAATTTTTTAGGAAACAGAATTTATATCATAATTTCTAATTATGATTTATTTTATTTCAAAATATTACTCTTATGTTCTAAGAATTAAGGGATAGGAATTCCCACAACTTGACAGATACATAATTTTCAGCGCTCCACACGGGACAATCCCATGGGACGAACTAATGGCCAATTCCCATTTTCCCAAAGAATTTTCATAATAATGTTAATTTTATTACATAGGAATCTGATCCAACAGGATATACAAATGGTACTCTGTATTCAATCTGATACACAATGCACTTGGATGGTTTTTTCCTTTAATACATGGAATAAATTTTTAATACAGATTTTAACAAAAGAATAATAATAATAATAATAGTACAAAGAAAAAGTGTTCATTCTTTAGGAATCTTGAACGATGATTTATTAGCATATTCATCTTCGAATTTAACCAATTCTAATGCTAATCGATCACGCAAACTAATTAATTTCGTATCCAAATCTGATTGTTGATTTTTGAATCGTTGTCGTTGTGCTTTAACAGCATCATTGATAGCTCGAAAATCATAAAGTACAGCTTGATCTTTCAAATCCGAAACAAGTTTCAGTAATGATTCAAAAGCACGAACCTAAAAAGTCAATAAAATAAAAGTATTTAACTCAATCAGTTCTCACCATATTATAAGCTCGTACACGAATTTCGAAATCATCTGTAGTATTAGTTAATATTCTTGGCAATTGATCTTTGATTGGATTTAGTTGTGGATCATCGACTCGAATCAAAGCAATGATGGCATTAAAATTATCTAATATCGATTGAAGATTATCTTTTGCTTGTTTATGAAAAGCAGCACCTTTCACGTTTGTTGTTGGATTTCGACTCATATTAATCTTCAAGAAGCAAAAACACATTAAATAAGAATGGAATATTCGATTCTCTTGTACGTCTTTATTTCTAAATAAGCTTTTTTTTTTAAATAAAATAAAACAATCAAAACAAAAGCATGAGTATATAGATAAACTGAGAAAAAAAAATAAAGATCAAAATTAGGCACATCTACTGTTGCACAACAAGAAAAAAGAATACTGAAATCAATGAGATTTTTCTCAATCAGAAAACTGAGGAATTATTATTTGGATTATTTGCGTGATTGACTACTTTATTGCCACTGTTACCATTTATTGTTGATGAAATAGGTTTCGGTAGATTAGATGTGGATTCATGTTTGCCATTATTTAAAACTATAAATAGAAATTTACATGATAAAAAAATCATTCAATATTAATAACAACATAAGATACAGGGACAGGGGTATATAAATCATCTACTCGACAACAGAAAACAAACCTGAAAAGACGGAGGTAGCATTCCTGCGGGTGCTTTAGGTTTTTTTTCAAAATAGCCATTGGATTTCAAAACATAAAATGATTCACTTACCAGGATGCTCAATGTTGGCCATCGATGTTGATTTCTTTTCCATTTGATGTAGAAGTCGGTCTTTCTCTTTGCGCTACAATGTACGGAAGGAAAAACGATTTGTTTTTTCTTCAAATTGGTTGTCTTTTTTCTTACGTCTTGTCGACTTTTGTAAGCATTGCCAAGTAAACGAAGTTCTTCGCATAAGGCTTCATATCGATATGCAATGCGAATAGCTGGAACATTCGTTCGACGAATGTCATTACCAGCTACACCAGATTCTTGATATTCAGGTCCCAGCCAATACATTTTCACCTGATTAATTCAGACACAATTCAATAAACAATAAAGTTCAATTTCTTTATGTCATACTTCATGAGAAAAGCCGCTCATTAGAACAGAATTTCGAGCTAATTCGCACATATCAACCGATGATAATTTCCAAACTTGTGCAGCAATCGAATATTCTTCCATTAAAGGTTCCTAAATAATCATCAAAATTAAATCTAGTTCAAATAATTAAAATTCAATTAAAATCTAACGAAAAATAAACTTTTAACTAGAAATTTTTCAATTTAGTTTAGACATTTGTTTCTTAAAGTTGCTCATCATTAGAACCCCGAAATCATCATGAAATCTGATCTATATTTTCCTAAAGGCTGTAATTTAATACGAGTTTCAAACAACAAAATGTAATATTATTCATGAAGATCAAACAGAAGAAACGAAAATATGTTCGTCTACTTTTAATATTCACTATCAATCAGTAGATCGACTTCTATTCATCATAATGTAAAAAGAGACTATCTTGTATTTTCTCTACAAGTCTATTTCATGTTTGCTATTAAAACTAAAAATTTATCAAACCTTGGTAAAATGAAATTGCATAGGATCATCTGTTGACAATGATACACATAGACCACGTTCAAAATATTCCAACATTGGATTGCGATTGTAATTAATAAACAATGAGTTATTGCTTAATGGCGACATAGCAATACCAATCTGACATAAATAGAATAAATATTGCAAAACAGGAGACTAAAAAAAAGGAATTATTCTTATGCCATTGTTAGTAAATCAAAAACGAAATCATTTACTTTGCGTAGAAGTAAACCGTGAGATATATTTTCTGCAACCATATAGGCTGTAACAAGATGCGTAACAGCACCTGCTTCACCACAATGTGGACGAAATTGATACGTATTTAAACCTCGAGCTCTACATCAAAACAAACGTTAATTTCATTAGGAAACTAATTTTCATTGAATATCAAACCTTCGAAGTTGATTCAGCGTAAGAATATTTGCGTACATATAGAACTAAAACATAACAAGTAGTCAATTATAGATTAATCTTCTTATAGATTGGTTTTTCTTACATACCAAATAATAAACATATGGCGGATTATCTTTCATATTCCAGTCTTCTGGATGAGGCATGTCAGCCGTAATAATAGGCTTTTCAGGTTTTGTTTCATCATCGACCGAATCAAAGCCTGTTAAATGATGCATAAAACGAAACAAATCTGGATGTAACGATGGATCAATGGTTGCTTCAAATAATGGTTTAAATAAATTTGTTAAAAATTCTTGAAAATTTTTTGTTATGCCATTAGCGCGATAGACATCACTGAATTGAAAAGAACTTATTTAAAATCGTATTTTTCAGTTTTACATCGACATACTAAAGACGAGGTATTTGCACCATCCAACCAACATTTGCTGAATACATCGTATTTCTAACACACCAGTTAGCTAATTTATCCCATTCATCAATGCTTCTACCATAGATTGATAGACGAAGTTCAGCATGCTGATATTTACTGTCTTCTAAATCGGACATCACTTCCTTTAAATCAAAAAGAAAAAAAAACACTTGTTGGTTTTATAGATAAAGTTTTCCTAAGTTTTACTTTTAATAAATCAGCAAAAAATACGCCATCAATATAGTTGTCAGTTTTAATGAAAATTTCTCTAAAATCGTAGAAAATAAAATAACATTCAAAATAATTCTCTTAATAGAGGTTTAAGACACAGGTTTTTAGAAAAAACATCTTGGCAATGCATCATAGTTTCTCTACATTAAACATTGATTCTTCCAGGACTCCACGTGGAACGGTATAATCTTATCTCATCCCATCTCATGGGACAGATTTTAATAATTTATCCCATCCTATTCCACATAGAGCCCTGATCTGATCTTACTGTTTACTTATCATACTAGAAAAATAAGTATAGAATACGATCGTCACCGAATTCATTACGAAATCTTGTTTACGCATTAACGTGATAGCTGATACAGAGAAATAAATTTTACAACAAATAGTACACCAAGGAAGTTTATCTAAGAAGCGGTGGCATTCCCTGCTGTTTCCTCGCGTGAGTTTCACACTTCAATGATTCAAACTTCGGTTGAGAGAAAAGGAATAATTGTATATATTTATTTATTTACCGTAACGCACTTTGACCAAGTGGATTATATTTTGCATTGAATCGATCAAAACGTTGAAACGTATTTCGATCCTAGAAACATGAAAATTTATTTTTAATTTCTTATTTCATTGTTTCTTACAGCATGAACACCAAGCATGTCAACGCTTAAATCATAAGCTGTAATTTTTAATTCATCAAAAACTTCTTTTAATGTCATTAATTTTCCATCTTTAGTTTTATAGACATGCATATCGCCAGATGTTTTCATTTTCTTCTTCATAAAACGTAATAAATGTTTTTGATTCATTGATGATGCTGCATGAATGTGTGTATCAACTTTTCGTACATTATAAAAATCTCTATGCGGTGTAGATTTTATTGCTGCCCATTCTTTAACTTCATTAAGTAAACAATGTAATTCATATCTTGATTTAAGATATTGTAAACGACGATAGCAAAATGATTTTAACGGCCCATCTGTAATCATCGCTGATAGAAGTGTGTAATCATCAATAAATTGATTACGATCAACAACCGGATAATCCACCTGTACCCATCCTTTTGCGTCGTCAGGTATATGGAGACGATAAATACCTTTTTCAGCTTTGACACAAACATCAGCAGCTTCCAGTAATGGTATATTGAATGCTTCGTCACGCTTGATGACAGGCGGATGAAATGGATGAGGATCGTCTATGAGAACAAAAACAACTTATGTAAGCATGCGTAGAATAATAAAATTGATGTGTTTTTGTTTTAGAAAAACATCAAGCGTATTAAAAAAACACACAGACACAGCAAACATATTAGTTAGCGTAGTAAATATAGAAAAGAAAATCAAGTCAAGCGCACTGTCACCTCTTTAGTTTTTTTTCTCGTAGGAATCTTTTGAAATTTCAAAGAAAAATGGAAGAAAATATTATTCAAGTACCAGAAGCGTGTGCAGCAGATTTTATTGGTAGATTGCTCTCTACTATTGGAAGTTTCTGATTGGGTGAAACTTGTGGTGGTATCGTGCGTGTAGGTATAGATGGAATGGTATGTTTGGGTGGTATTTGTCCACTAGTGCCACCAGAGTTGGTTCTTAGTTTAGGTTCTAAATATAAAACAAGGCATCACTGCAAACATTCAAACATAAAATAAATAGACTAAAATAGATATGTATGAAAGACGCATGCAAGATTATAAACTCGGTGCTCTAGAAAAGTCATCCGAACGGATAGTGAAATTAGTACGGTGTCACACTCGTTATTAGTGATGATGAGGAAGAGCATGAAGAAAAAGATGATTGCGTTTGATCCAAACCGGTATTTGCCCGAACTGTTGATGATGCGCGACGTGATTGATCTTCTTGTTCAAGAGTTTTGGTTAAAAATTTCGCAACTGTTGGTGGAAATGACTGAAGACTGAAAATCATATATCTTTGGAAAGAAAAACATCATGTTTAAAAAAAAAAGCACTAATTATCAAATAATACTTTTCACGAATAACCATAGCACGAAGTAATGGCCCAACCGCGTCTTCCAGATCTTCAATATGTGACATATCATCAAAATCGCCAGCAATTTTTATTCTTTGAAATGCTTCACGAAGACTTGACTTATCATAGATTGATGCTCGTGGTAGATTTTGTCTTGAAGTAGATTCTAACGGCTCATCAATTTCAATTGTTTCAATTGTTGGATAAGATTCTTTTTCGAAAACACCTTGGAATAAATTATTTGCCGAGTCCGCTGATTCTGGAATAGATGTTTGATCATGATTGCGATCTTGTGCTGCCCTGGGTTTTTTTAAACAAAAAAAAAGAAAGAAAGAAACAGTCGAGTAGAAGTAAGAAAAGAGTCAAATATCAAACCGGTGTTGTACTGCACGCTCAAGTTCATCTTGTAATGAACTAGCTATTGCTAAGGGCATTTCGATTTCAAACGAATCAATATTTGATGGATCATTGAAACGCTTGTGACGGCGTTTAATAAGTTCAGCAGGAACTTCATCCAACGAAGGAATTATTTCAGGATGAAGAATATGATTCGGATAAATTGGTGGTTTAACGACTAAAATAAAAAAGAAACACATACTATGATGAATTTATGCGTGCAAAAAAAAGAAGTTTACTTTTTCCAGATCGTTGCTCAGGTGTTTGTTGTGAAACATCAACAGAATGTTGCGTTAGAAGAACATTTCGTGCATCATAGATAGTCTGTTGATTCCATTCGCCATTCGATACTGATAAATGATGACCAACATTTGTAATTTCGTCATTTGGATATCCACTCATGATTATTTGTTACAGACCATAAAAGTTTTTTGTGCAATCAATCTGGAAAATATGGTGAAAAATGAATGCAAACAACAGGATATGCAAGTGCTTTTTAAGTTACAAGGCATGTGATAGAGAAAACAACAAAAAAAGCGACAAGAAGAAAAACGCACCCAAGTCATCCGATGCACAAATATATGTATAGAGGAAACAGAAGCTGTGCGATAATACAGATACATGCTCTCGAAAAAATAACTTATCGCGCATCAACGGAGAATCTTTCTTCAAGACTAATTGCATGCTATTGGACAGAAAATACTGCTCGGAGTTATGGGTGTTTTATCTCGACGTTTCTTTTCAACACTTGTTAATTTCTGATGCACTCATTTTCTTCTTCTTTTTTGCTCGCACTCTGCTTGTAGCTTATTCTTTTTTTTTTTACTTTCTTGCATATACGTGAAATAAGACAAGCAGATTAACTGTTATTCATACTAATTAGAGTCATATTTTCCTTTCTCATGTATGCTAAGCGCATCTATGATCACGTTTCTATTCAATATAGAATAATATATAATTTAAGAAAAAATTGGCTTCAAGTACAGCAATAAAATCCTAAGGATCAAAATGCGCTTATTTCGCATTCTTTTTTTTATAATAATTGACTGAATGCATGGTTCTAGATTTTTCTTTTTCTTTCTTTCTTTTATAAACGATATCAATCGACGCAATAAAAATAAAAGTACTTTTGATGTGACTTCACTTTCATTTATGAAGGCATGAAAAATGATGGAGAAAACTAACACCACTATAGGAGAGCAATTATAATGAATAGGATAAACTGATAAAAACTATTTCAAGAAATAAAAATTGAAAATCTAAATGAAAAACAAACGAAAGGACTCTTTCCAAACATGTACATGAATATATGTTCTGTTTCGCTGAAATTGTTTAGAAAAAAAAAACCCGATGATAGATAATTAAGCACTAAAATAGATAAATGATTTAATAATAAGGAGAAAAAAAAGAATGAGCATAAGCTTGGTTTTTTTTGCCAATATTTTTATTTTTAAGCATGATGTCTTAAGACTAAAGGTTGCTGATGTTGATGTTGTTGTTCGACACCTTTCAACCTAAGACCAACATCCTTCCAAACATGTGTTAAAGCGTCAACTAATTGATCGATCATTTCACTTGTATGATACGGCGTAGCCGCAATTCTTAAACGTTCAGTTCCTCGCTCAACAGTGGGATAATTAATCGATTGAATATAAATCGCGTAGCGATCAATTAAATGATTGCATAAAAGTGTAGCTAATGCTGCATTACCCACCTAAAATAAAAATTTGATAGAAAAAACGATGAATGATGAAAATTTCAAAATTGTAGCTATACATGAATTGGAATAATATGGCTTGGTGATATTATAACTGGAAGGCCAGCATCAATTAATTTTGATCGTAATTCGCGAACATTTTCTTGTTGTTTGCGACGTAATTCACGACCTTCATCACTCATTGAAATCTATCGAAAGCAGATATTTTCATATGAAATAATAATTCATAATATTTAAAATGTTTAAATATCTTTATCATATCTTAGATTACTGATTTTTAAAAATAGATTAAATATTTTTCGGGCTTCTTCTTGAAAGAAAAAGTATATGCTAATTACAAATTTGATAATAAACAGAATCTTTTTCTAGAAAACACATCTTAGATAACCTTTTTTTGACATTACAACAAAAGAGAATCACTCGTCGTCTGGATTCATGCTGGTTTAAATAGTTGTCTACTGTCGACATATGACAAAACTTGATTTTAATTGGAAATTTAATATATCGATAAAAGAATTTTGTTTTTCAACTTGAACTTTCATTAAATATGACATAGAGGCTCAATAGAGGAGTACTCATCATCCAACTCTAGAATGTGATAAATATAAACTTATGACTACCGTTCGTTGAATTTAGATTCAAACAACGAACTTTTATTTTCTCATATAGCATAAAAATATTAATATTAGATTCGTTTATGAGAAAATTCTGTTTGATAAAAAATTTCTAATTTTTATAATTCTCTGCTAGACAAGAAAACTTAATGCATTTAACTGTCAGGAAGTTGACAGGGTAAATTTTGATCTAGTTAGTAAAAAAGAAAGCTTTGGACTATAGATTATTGACTAACCTCAATAGCTGCTAACGAGCTAGCTAAAACTGTTGGTGGCATTGATGTTGTAAAAATAAAACCAGAGCCATAACTACGAATGAAATCTGCCATTTTCGCACTACCAGCAATATAACCACCAATGCTTCCGAAAGCTTTACCTAAACAAAATTCAAACGAATATTTACATACTATTAAAACTATGTATAAATAATGCTAACCAAGTGTTCCTGATATAATATCCATTTTATGAAGAACATGATCACGTTCACCAATACCGGCTCCATTATCGCCATATAATCCGACAGCATGAACTTCATCGATAAATGTTATTGAACCATATGCATGTGCAACATCAAGCATAGCTTCCAAGTCACATATTGAGCCTATTAATAGAATAAAAAGATACTTTAAATAGATAGAATGGCAAAAGCAAATTATAATACCATCCATGGAATGTACTGTTTCAAAAGCAACTATTTTCGGTGTATGACGTGGAATTTTCTTTAGTAATTCTTCCAAATGACTAATATCATTATGCCGAAATATGTGCTTAGGTACTTGACTATTTCGAATACCTTGTATCATGGATGCATGATTTCCGCTATCTGATAAGATATGACATTTTGGCAGTGCTTTAGCTAATGTAAATAATGTTGTATCATTGGCAACATAACATGATGTAAATACAAGTGCAGATTCTTTCTGATGAAGACGTGCCAGTTGATGTTCAAGTTTTTCATGTAACGGACTTGTACCTGATATATTACGTGTGCCACCTGAGCCCGATCCATGTATTGTTACTGCATCACTAACAATAGTAATATAGAACAAATGGTTAATCTTCTTCAAAAACTATTTCCGTTAAAATTAATGAAGAAAAGAAAAACAATTTTTAACATAGAATTAATCGAAATGTGAATTTATGGACTAACTTAAATTGAATTATTCATAGTTTTTATTACTTACACGACTGCTTTTTTCAATTTTGGATGTTCACCTAAACCAAGATAATCATTACTACACCAAATAGTAATGGTACGCGAATCAAAATCATCGTTTAACATGTTCAGTTCTTCAGCTTTAGGAAAACAACCACTTTTACGTTGTACACGTTTAAAAACTCGATAGGAATTATCAAGTTTTTTTGCTTCAATTTTTGCATCAAAAAAAGTATCATATTCAAATGGATTTTTGGTACCAACCTGTGCCGGTGCTATCGGATGTGCTATTTAGTATATAGAAGAAACGAATGAATGACTGATTGATTTTTGAAGAACAATACATACCATGTTTTCGATTAACTTCAATGGTATCTAGATTCATATCAACACGTCGAAGTGCAATTGGTGTTGATTTTAAAAATGGACATGAAAGATCTTCACATTCAGTCGAAATAGTAACTTGAAAAAAAAAACAAAGAATTTAAAATAAATATTGGGGTGTTTTTTTTTGTTATCTTACTTTCACCATATAAATTTGGCTTGTTTGTTTTTAATGATGTTTCAAGATTTGATATTACTGGTCTAATATTTGATAATGAATATTGATGATGCTTGTGTTCAAGCATTTTTTCATGAACTGCCTTAATCTCATTCAAACTAAGAGGACGAGTCATCGATGATGATGATGACTTTGTTGTTGACGATGACAAATTGCCAGTATCATGAATGTTTGATGTTGATATTTTTCGAGCAAACTGACTGAATACTGGGCATGATTCAACACCTGCATTAAGAATATGTGGAGCTGAAGCTCGAACTTGCTGTAAAGTTAATTGAGATAAAAATGGACATTTAAGCATGGGTATTGCCATGTTATGTGTATATTTTTTTTCTTATATTATATATGATTAAAATGGAGCGGATTGATATACTTATAAGTAAACGTTAATCTATAAAATACAAAAGAACAAAGAATGTGTGCGTACTTCTTATGAGAATAAATTCCAGGTTGAAATGTTTTTATCATAGACTGCACAATCTTTTCTATAGAAAAATATTTTTCATTTTGTATTACAGCGCAAGAAAAAGAAATTTTTCAAGGTAATCACGTTGCAAAATGAAACAATATAAAATTTCTACAAGGACGACAGATAATCATAGTCAGCTTTTCAGCTGTATCGACCGATTAATAATGTGAAAGAAATATACATGCGACGGCATATTTATGACGAACGCAGTCATTTGTGTGTATTAATGTCCTTCTACGCCTTTCAACAGGCGCCAAGACAATATTAATAGATTATGTTTTTTTTCCTATGCACACAAACCTGACGAGTCTCTATTTACATACAGCCTCGTTTAAAAAAAGTACATCATGCGCGTTTATACCATTTTCTTCAAGATTGAATAGCACAGAAAAGTAACAATGTCTTTATTTATTTAACCATCAATAAGAAATATCTCAAAAATCTTAACATGGAAATGGGAATGAAGTAACTTATTTAGACCGAACTAATTTTCAACATTTCCTATTTCGTAAAGAAAATGTCACAATGCTCATTATTTATTTTTTTTATCGTTTAGATAGTAAAATAAACGGTAGATATGGCCAACACAATAGGAATAGATTTCCAGGTTCTTCACATGTAAAACTATCGTTGACACATGAAATTCTTTATCGAAATAAACCAGAAGAAAAATAAGAAAAAAAAGAACCGACGTGATAGGAATTTAAACAAATATTTTTACGAAGAAAAAAGGTCAGAATCGTCCTGTAAATAGCAAGTAAATATGGATGGGAAATAGCGCACAAACGTGACGGACTCATATGCGCAATAAGTACCATATAAATTTTCATGCGTACACAAAAGAAAAAGAGCTAATAAAATATTCTAATACGTTCTTCACTTGAGTATTTATTGCATGATAACATCTGTTAATTTATAATAAACTTGCGAGTTCGATAAAAAAAACAATAAATAAATACATAAGTATATCATCAAAACCAGTTGATCTAACTAACGAGATATGATCAAAAACAAGAGTAAGTAAAAATAAAAGAGTCATGATTGGCGAATAAAAATGGTCCTGCTGAGAAATAAAATAAAAAAAATACATAAATAAATAATGATAAAGCCATAACGCTATTGTTAAAATAAACAAATAGGTAGATGGCGTTCTTTGCTGGACTAAAATCTACCAATTTAATGAGAGTTTTAGCACACGGCCATGTTTGATTAAGACAGCTATACATTTATACGCTGTGGTTTTAAACACTTTACAGAAATAAAACAGCTTATTTCTGTTTTAAATCACTACCTGTTCGCACTACGACTACCATAGTTTATTCACTAATCATAATTTAGCATAACCTCTATTCCAGACTTTCCGATATGTTCAATCGAGTTATCATTTTCCAGCTAAAGAATACTCACAGCAACAATGATTCAATGGTATTTTCTGTCATTGAATACTCTCTCACACAGTTTAACTTAGTAAAGGGAAACGTGGATGACTACTCAACGATCTTTCTATGAAAATAAATCGTATTGTACAGAAACGGCTGAAGCAATCCAAATCAAAAGCTTTCACAGCGTATGTTGCAGAATGATACTAGTAGTGTTAGAGTTGAAAACTCGTTTCAAGTATTTTATGTACTAGTAATGAAATGATCAAATATGTAGTTTACAGAATGTACATATGATTGAACATTAGAATGATGCAAAAAAGAGTGTCATCATTGAAAATTTGTTACCGATATATTTGAATGTGTCCGAATATACATTATTTATTCATTTTTCTTGCTAATCTGCCCGTTACTACTAACTCGGCTGAACACGATTTTAGTTCACTCAAGCGCATCAAAATTTATCACAGGTCAACAATCGTTAAAAACCGACTAAATGGACTTGCACCTGCATTTATTCACGTCAATGTGAAAATTGATGCTAACAAGATGTTTTTTTATTCATGAGTCTTTAACATAAAATATTCAAATATATGAAATTGCAGAATACATTTATGAAATATTGTAAAAAAAAACTAAGCAAATTTAATTGTTAATGCAGAAGAAGTCTTTAACAAATGATTGCCCACTAGATTGGGTACACGAAGTTAATCCGGGTCAACGATTACGGACTTCGTATACGAGTACCGTGTCTGTTCGACCAGGTTTTATCTGAGTAACTAGAATCACAAAGACATTTGTGTTTTATTTTAAAATTCGTACGGAAACAAAGTTACGGTTCAGTCTGTATCGCGCATGCTTGGTCAGCAAATTGTGACGTTGACCGAGAAATAGGAAAACATGTTAATATTTTGAGTTTGATGATTGTCTCGTTCTCAAATAAAAGCATTCTTTCGAATAGTTAATAGTTAGGTTCGGCTGAAGCTAGCCTTATACCCTAGCTACATCACTATTCGTATAGATCTGCATCGTGTGTGCAGTATGGGCCATCAAAATGTGAATAGACTTGCGCCCTCTATTGTAGGTATGTGTTCACTGGAATAAAAGAACATCAAATAGATACTTTGCTGTGCCTATTGGTTAATATGCTTTGCTTGTTAAATAAACGGAACACGTATCAGTAGGTCGGTATTTATTTTGAGTTGTCTGTTGTACTCATTCACATTAAAAATATATATATAAATAGAGACATGTCTCATCAATCAGGAATTACGGGTTTGGTGCGCACAAATTTCTTTCAAATTATCTAAGTGTTTTAATTCTATTTAGCAAATGAAGCATTACGAAAAAAGTTTGCTGAAATGAAAGATGGACACATTCGTGTAGTGGTTGTTCTTATTGAAGACGGTTCGAATGAAGGAATTAATAAATTTACATAATGATATTTTTCTTGTATAGAAAGTCTGGTAGCGAAGGGAGAACATCAAGCTGAGCGAACATTTAATGAAGGTAAAATCATGCTTGTTTTCGGTTATTTGTTATAAAATTTGCTTATAGATTTTGATAAAATGATTCCACCATTGATTCAAAAACATCGATCTGCTTTTTATTTTGTTCGCCTTGATACAATTAGTGAATTAAGTGGGCATAATTGGCTATTAATCGTCTATATTCCTGACGATGCTAAAGTAAATCATATTTACATATCATCGAAATAGTTGAAATTCTTCCTTTTTATGATTTAGGTTCGTGAACGAATGTTGTATGCTTCAACAGTAGCTACACTTAAGCGAGAATTTGGTCTAACATATATTACGCAAGAAATTCGAGCATCATCCGTGGTAAATATTTATAAGCAAAAACAAAATTATTTTCACTATTTTTATTTTACTAGCATGAAATGACAAGCAATTCATTCCATCAACATGTTCGGAGTCAAGCAGCACCGCCACCAAGAACTATGCGCGAAGAAGAAATGCTTGAAATACAACAACGAGAAGTTAGTTTCATGAGAGCAAATTAATTGCAAGGCTAAAAGCAATACTTTATTTTAGGTTACAGCTGATATTAGTATTGATTCTCGGCATCAAACTTTACAGGGATTATCGTTTCCACTCGATGAAAATGTTATCGAAGCTATACATTTGTTTAAAAAACAGAATGTTGATTATGTACAATTGGTAAAAATAATTTGAAATCAATTTATCGTAGAGAGTAGAGTAGATTTGATGTTATCAAAAACATGCCAACATAGAATGAACAATTTGATAAGCTGTAAAAAATAAAAAAAGGATTAGACTTGATCCATAAATTAAAACTATCGATCAAAACTAAAGTTAGATTTAAAAACTATTAGTAGTGTTGTATATATATATATTCTAGGGATATTCATGGCTAACACGATTGAGTTCTTGTATATCGTATTATATTTGATGGTAACTACCACAAAAACTAATAGTAGATTGGCGGCTAGAGAATAACTATTTGATGAGAATGAAACATTAAATTAATATCAGTGTTTTAGCATTTTGAATAAAATAAGATGTTTCTATATGAAGAAAATGATTTGTTGAATTAGAAACGAATGAGACATTTGAAGACGTATAGAGAATAATGAAGCTTATTAATTTACTATTTTCAGGAAATTGATCATGAACAAGAACGTATCCTTCTAGCTCATTCGGAATCGATTTCGACTCCTGAACATATTCAAAAATGTTCACCGGACAATGCAGGACGATATCATCTATATAGATTTAAACATACTTTTCACGGTGAAACAATAAGTCCTCTATGTATGTTTTTTAATAGAAAAAACTAGTCAACCGATTCCAAGTATAGCGTAAAAAATGTTGATTTTAGTCTTTCTCTATTCTGTACCTGGTCATGGCTCAAAAATAAAACAACGTATGCTGTATGCTAGTTGTAAAGAAAATGTCATTGATACGATTGAAAAAAGATATGGCATTACTTTCGATCGAAAAGTAGCTAGCATTTAAATTGTAATCTTTATAACTACTTTTTGATATTATCGATTTAGTTGGAACTTTGCGATCTAAGCGATTTAACACACGAGCATCTATTTCAACAACTTCATCCAGAAGCAGTTGCTAGTACAGGTAAAGCTGCATTTGCCAAGCCAAAAGCTCCTTCATCGCGTGGTCCACGTCGTCTAGTCAAACCAAACGAAAATTCCGATGAACAATAAAACCATAAATTTTCTTATATGACTTTTTTTTATGATTATATTCAATTTTCTTTTTCGATCGATTCGATTTTGTAACATACACAGTCAATTGCTCCTTTTCTTTTTCTTTTATAACCTATTGACTGATTGATAAATGGCTTTTTTCTTTTAACTATCCATCGCGCTATTGTTATCAAATACTTTTTGTTTAAATTGTAATAATATGTAATCGTTTTGTTAATCAATTTATGACTAATACAATAAAAAATGAGTTAAAGCAATCGTTGATTATTTCGATTATATAATTACATTACTTACTAATTATTGTGTTTCATCGAAAAAATGCGTTGACATGAGCCATTATGATTGTTTTGTCCGGATAAGCACTGAAATTTTTATTCGAATGATTTGTTGTCGCAACCATTCATACTGAAAAACAGCACGATGATTTTTCTTTGAAAAAATGAGTAATATGAACTTAATCATAAGTTTTCTCATAAGTTGATTGCATATTCAATCATTTGTATGATTAAGGCGCGTCTGTCATATCTATTCGATGAATTTACAAGTAATGAGCGTATATTAATCATCTTTCAACAGATGAAAATCTTCTCATATAGAATAGCAATATGAAGAGTTCTTGACAATTATTTTAAAACACCCTTCTAAAGGTATAGTTATGATAAACACAAGATCGATAATTGCGTCATAAAAAGAACGTACGAATAACTCAACGTTTTTTCCCTGTCTCAGTCAAAGTGATTGCCATTTCGATCGAAATACGATTTACCTTGCAATTTTTCGACAGGATGTACTTATTATGAGAAACGACATGTTATAATAATGAAAACAGAAAAATATTCAGACTAACGTGTTTTGGGCTTTTTACCTACCGTATATTTTTTTCGTTTGACTGCAGTTTTGTTCGTGCTTACTGAATGCGTATACATGTTTGTTACGCTGCAAAATAAAAAAAAAAGAGAAATAGTATCAATAGGTGTGCACGTCTTTTTGCGCGTAATAAAGAAGACAGAATGATGCGTTTTTTTATTTGATTCGATTGATGATGCTACCTATCACTTTTCTCCATCTGACGCCATTTATCATCTTTTTTTTTCTTTCTTGGTTCTTTTTTTTGCTGACTAATATGTATATAAAAAAATAATATGAATAATGAAAGTTGCAAATTTTTTCTTTTTCTTTCATGGTTAGGTTTTTTTTTCTTTTTTAATGGAATGAATGCGTCGGCAGCGAAGTGTATTTGTTAATGAGAAGAAGAACGCTAACAAAAAAGAAAAAAACAGTACTCGAAAGCGAAGAAAATTCACCCAACTAGTGTATGATCAGCATTCGCCACTTGTTCTTTCTTCTTCTAGCCTCAGTCAAAACATAGACGCAAACGACTGGCTTATGAACAATGGTATATTCAGCGTCTCGACCATATCATATACCCACATCGACTACTGGCTCACAGTATGCTGTAACAAATGGCTATTCATCGTTGCCATATAACAAATGGATCCAATCAACACCTGAATCAGACTTTTATGCCGGTCCCAAAGGTGATTCAACTACGAATCCATTATCTCAACAATATCAATTATTACAACGAGATAATTATTTAAATCACTCATTTTCAGATATCTCAAAAGCTCAATATTTTCGGTCTCGAGAAGAACAACCCGTATATGCTACAGTCAGTTCGAAACGGCCAATAATAAATTATCTTGTACCGTAAGTAAATTTCTTTCGTATGGGACAATTTGTTTCTCAAGAGATAGAGAAGGATGCCAACCAAAACATTGTATACGAGTCAGATGTTCGTACTTTCCTATATTTACTTCAATATGGAGCTCTAGCTGTGTACAACCGGAAGAAAACATTATCTCTCTCTCTCTCTCTCTCTCGTTTACGTACATGTTTGTACAGATATACGCATCCAAGAGAATAGAGAAAAAAATTATCGATGCCTCCTGTACTGACATATCCAAATGAGGATATTGACGTTACAGACTTATCATGAAAGTAATCGAACAACTGTTTTGAGTTAGGATAAAAAAAGGACACTGTTTTGAAGCTAAATCGTTTCGAAAAATATTTTTTTAGTATCATTAATATTAAATATAACACAAAAAAAATGCGGCGAATAACAATGAGTTAATCTTGTATAAATAAAAGAAAATTTTTGCCTAAATGGTTTAAATAATTCCAGACCTTGCTGTCGTAGTTATCTGTCTCATAAAGCAAGGACAAATGTAACAAAAGAATTCAACATAGCAGTTGAAGAAGAAAAGATCTCGCAAAAATGATATCGCTCGGATTCGTTTTTTCTTCTTACTTTTAAGGTTTCATTGAACACATTCTCTCATGACTATATTGTGATAGGTGGTATCTATTCTACGATTAATTGCATTTTTGTACATCTTTTTCCTTTTCTCAGGCTCTATTTATTTCTTACATCTTTTAGGAGCATTACACCCATGAATGTAGGTCAAATCCTTCTTTCTATTCTGTCTATCTTTGTTTCTTGTCGCTTGCTCGTATTTAACCAAAAAAGCTGATAAGGTCATTGTTAGTAGCAAGCCGAATAAATCTATCCAGCTCTCTTTACAACTATCATAGTATATAACAGCAATCAATTGTTTTCTTCTGCGTTTGTGCAACAAATAAACGACCTACACAGCCAAACAATTATCGAAATTTATTCATGACTTCGATGAGGTATGATGAACACGATATGTTTATGATCTAAAGACAATATGCAACTTAATACTACACTATAAAAGTGATGTGAAAGTGAAATATAATCGATTCCTCCTACATATTTGATCTTTCTGAACGAATATCTCACATACATATAGAAAAGGTAGAAAGTAAACTGAACAAATTGTTCTCTCCTTCTCTCTGTCTCTTTTTCACCGAAGAGTCAACCGATCGAATGACGAAATCTTTCGTTGTCATCTCAATTGCGTTCATCTTACGCAAGTGTTATGAGCAAATCTGAATACTATGAGTTTTTCACCTATGATGATCGATCTTGATAGTTGTTCTTCTTCTCGGCTGTTTCTCTTCGTTCGAATTGTTCATTTTTTTCTCTTTTGTCGAATCAATGATGAAAAGTTTTTTCTTTTCGTATTTTGTTTTATGCATATTAATTCGACCCATTCAAGCTCTACTCGTATTTCTTTCTGTCATGAATATATTTTTTGATTTTTTGATTTTATGCATATTTCATTGTACTATTATAGTAAGACGGCGGAAAAATCAAAATATTTATTATGTACATTCATGGGGGGGGGGGGGGGGGGGGGGGGGGGGGGGGGGGGGGGGGGGGGGGGGGGGGGGGGGGGGGGGGGGGGGGGGGGGGGGGGGGGGGGGGGGGGGGGGGGGGTGG